GCAGCAACTCCCGGTGACTGCTCCTCAAGCCCCGGGCAACCCTATTCCCTCACCGGCCTCGGCCGCCCTCCTGCTCCACCCGCCGCCGCCTCCCCCGCCGCCGCCGGCCACCTCGGCCCCGCCGCCGCCCCCTCCTCCGCCCGCTATCGCCGCCACCACAACAGCCGCCGCCGCCTCAGCTGGGCCCATGCCTGCCGGGAGCGGCGGCGGCAGCAGCAGCAGCAGCGCCCCGGCGCCCTTCCCTCACGGCGGCGACCTGGCCCTGAACGAGCAGGAGAAGGAGCTCAAGCGGCGCCTCAAGCGGCTCTACCCGGCCGTGGACGAGCAGGAGACGCCGCTGCCGCGCTCCTGGAGCCCAAAGGACAAATTCAGCTACATCGGCCTCTCGCAGAACAACCTGCGCGTCCACTACAAAGGTAGAGGGACGGAGAGAGGGCGAGGCCGAGGCCACCGCCATCCCCAGGCCCCCTCCGCCTCTTCCTCCGAAAGGCAGGCTGAGAAACTCCCAGGGAAGCTCTGAACGTCTCCCCCGAAACCGTCGGGAGGCTTCGGTTGTTGCCTTTCTCCACAGAGGTCGGTGGACCCCGAGCCTAGGCTTCCTTCCCGCACCCGCTTTCCGAAGACCGCACACCAGTTGGGCCAGTACATATTCCCCTCCCGTGACTGGAGCGGAATAGCCCTTTCTCTTCTTCCCCAACCCTTGTCGTTGGAGGAGTCCCTCAGTCCCTCGCTTTGCTGCCTCCTCCCCCCCCACCCCCAAAGCTTGGAGGTTCCCCGGCAAGGGGGAGGGAAAAAAATTGAAACTTACACTTTCGTGCGTCCCTCCCGGCGTGACGCTGTGCGCTGACGTCACGGGGCTGTAATGGTGGTGTGCCTCGAGATTTTTTTCATCAAACAAGTGTGCCTTTGCCCAAAAAAAGGTTGGGAAACACTGATATAGAGGAGGGAGAAAGGTTGTTTTCTGCTGCTCCAGAGAAGCGGACACGGAGCAATGGATCCAAACTACAAGAAAGAAGATTCCACCTAAACATTAGGAAGAACTTCCTGACAGTAAGAGCTGTTCGACAGTGGAATTTGCTGCCAAGGAGTGTGGTGGAGTCTCCTTCTTTGGAGGTCTTTAAGCAGAGGCTTGACAACCATATGTCAGGAGTGCTCTGATGGTGTTTCCTGCTTGGCAGGGGGTTGGACTCGATGGCCCTTGTGGTCTATTCCAACTCTATGATTCTATGATTCTATGGAGAGTCACCATATTGGTTATTTGATATTTGGGGGGCAAGATTCTGTCTCAGGCGCTAACATACCTTGAGCTCCTCCTGAAATCAGATTTGCCCTGTTTTCTCCTCACGCTTCCTAGAACTCCGGCAACACTACTCCATTAAAATAAAAAAAAAGAAATCATTTCTCTTTCTTTTAATAAAAGACAGTTGGACGGGTTTGTTTTTTTGTAAAAAAAATATATGTTCCCCCCACCAATAACACATAGTCGATGTGGAGTCATCGCTGAATTTGCTGCATGCTTGTTAGACATATCCAAAGTGTAGGCTGTGTGACCTTTTGCAGAGATTTGCTGCAGTACATGTGGAGGAGGTGGCGGGAAAGAAATGTGTTGAGGACATTTTCTGCGCTGGCTTTCAAAGTGCCAGATTCACCTCCCCTCCTTATTTCCCCTCATTAATGCATAGCCATGTTAGGAAAGGCTAGACCTGTTGAAGTTCTGCCTGTCGTGTTAAAGATAGTGATATACAAGGACCTCCTCCACACACCCCAACCCGCTGCCCAAAAAATTAGCAAAGGATACTCTTCCAGAATGGCTAAAGTCCAGAAAACAACTCATTTTAGGAAGTCTACATTCTGCTGTGCTTCTCCTTTATAAGATGTGAACTGCCCTGCCCCCATACCTGTGACCCCTCCCCCTTTACCAAGACAGGTAAGGACCTTGATTGGTCTAAGCCGCAGTCCAGGGCCAGCACAGCCTCACCTGATCCAGATGTAGCAGAGATTAAAAAAATGAAGCCCCAGACATTTAAAACATCCTTATGCCACTTTGATGGTCATGGCTTTCCCCCAAATAATCTTGGGGAGCAGTGGCGTAGTGTGGGTTGTCAGCACCCGGGGCAAGGCAAGTAATTTGCGCTCCCTAACCTGTGGATTTGCGCCCCCTAACCCATGGATTTGCCCTAACCCCAGATTTTGCGCCCGGTGCGGCCGGCCCCCCCTGCACCCCCCACGCTACGCCACTGTTGGGGAGTATAGTTTGTTAACGTTGCTGAGAGCTGTTATGAAATCCTCCAGTGGGCTACAAATCCCAGCGCCCTTAACGAACTACAATTCCCAGGATTCTTTGGGAGGAGCCACAACAGTTAAAGTGGCACAAGAGTGCTTTAAATGTATGGCAAGGATGTGACCATAGAGCTGAGTGCCATTGGTGTACTAATGACATCCCACCCCAAAAACTCACCATGGCTGCTCCCAGTGGCTTCATTGAGATGCTAAGAAGCATTGGTGATAAAAAATGATGCCCCACTCTGCCATACCATAACATGTGCACCCATTTAATGCTGCTTGCTAGAGGTAGGATTGGAACACACTGACATACAGCACGGTCTTTACTAACAAAACTACTATAGGCCTCGTAGGGTTGCTGGTTACTCTGGCCTGTTCCTTTAACAGCTTAGGTATCAAGGAATCAGCAGGTGAAGCTTTTCAAAGCATGGAGGAGAGCATCATGAAAGCTACTGCTTCTGCCTAGATCTGCTGTCTTTTCAGGATAGAATTCTGTAGTCCTCTCAATGCCTTGATTTGCTAGAAAGAGTGAGGCAGATTGACTATTAAACAGGAAGCTTTTCCTACACCCAGAATACTGGGAACAACATAAGGCTGAGTGGGTAAGGAAACCTTGCTCATAATCACATGCTTTCAGACTTGCAATAAAATGTTGCAGTGTGCAGCTTTCCCAAAAGGAGTTGTTTTCTGGACTCTAGCCAGTCTGGAACAGAAGCCCTTGAGTTCTCTTGGAGATAGGGAGTTTCCACCCCCATCGTTCAGTGCGGACACTGAGGTCCAGCTCTGAGGGCCTTCTGGCAGATCTCTCAATGCGAGAAGTGAGGTTACAGGGAACCAGGCAGAGGGCCTTCTCGGTAGTGGCGCCCGCCCTGTGTAATGCCCTCCCTTCAGATGTGAAGGAAATAAGTAGCTATCTTATCTTTAAAAGACACCTGAAGGCAACCCTGTTTAGGGAAGTTTTTAATGTTTGATGTTTTATCGTGTTTTTAATTTTCTGTTGGGTTGCTACCCAGAGTGGCTGAGGAAACCCAGCCAAGTGGGTGGGGTATAAAAAATAAATTGTTGTTGTTGTTGTTGTTGTTGTTGTTTGCTGCTGTGTTCTTCCTCAAGGAATGCTCCCTTCAGATTGCCCGCCAAATTTTCCAAGTGGGACAATCCACACCAGGTTTTGCTTTGCTTTTCCAGCTGTACCACATTCCATAGCTACTGAACAGTCCTTATTAGTCTGCATTCGGCATTTTTTTATGGTTGTTGTTGCCCTTTTAGCTGTTAAAAAAACAACTTGTGTCCTACTGCTGTAAGCATGAGGTTTCCCCAAAAGCTTGCTGATACGCCGGTCTTGCTGCTCAGGTGTCTCTTTTTGGTTCTAGTCCTGTCAGCACTCACAGCCTGAGTTTGCTATTAGAAGAAATGATGTTGGAACATATATTCTTATCTCCTTGCATTGAGGGGTTAAAGGTGGAAAGGGAACAAGAGATTGATTGGTGGTGATTGGAAATCCCTGCTCCCTATTCAGGATTCTGCAATAAAAGAATATCTCTTCACCATAACTTAGTGGTAATTCTTCCTCTTGACCCTGTAGTAAAATAGTAATTGAAAGGTTATCTCCACTATAAAGTATAGTCCTTTTAATGATGGAAGCAGGAGAAAAAGGTATTCCGGCAATGCTTAACCCAATTGCTCATTAAGACAGGAAAGGCTTCAGTCCTAAACATAATGAGTGTGAAGCAAGCCCTGCTAGAGACATTGGGGCTTCTAAGAAAACATTGTGCTGGAAGTGACTTTAAACACAGTTCTTTATCTTCTGCATTTATTCCCTGCTTCCTTCAACCACCTCTGCTGAATTTCTGACTGACTGCCATTCTCATGGCACAGGAGCCTGCCCAGGGAAGGGGGGTAGACCACATAGCCATTTTCAGGCATCCATTTGAAGGATTATTAACAAGTTAACAGACTCCAATGAGAGGTTGTGGACTCTCCTTCCTTGGAGGTTTGTAAGCAGAGGTTGGATGGCCACCTCTCATGTACAATCTAGTTGAGATTCCTGCATTGTAGGGGGTTGAACTACAGTAGATGATCCTCGGGGTACTTTCCAGCTTTACAATTCTATGATTCTGAGTTTTGATACAGGATTTTATTTCGTTATGACCAGTTCTTTCGGAACGTCAACAGTCTCACCTCTTCCCAATTGGACCTTATTGCTCACACTGCAACTACAAATTCAAGGACTTTGTTTATATAAAGCCTAAACATCTCTAAATTGTGTCAGGACACATAGAACTGATTTCAGCTGAAGAGAGAGAGATAGAGAACTTCAGCTGAGATACATGAACATTTTGAAGGAGGTAGGGAGACAAAATCTTAAACACAATTTTTAAAAATCATCTTGCCTCTAGGCAAAACGCATTTTTAAAATTCTGTTTTCTTATCTCTTCCACAACGATGTGCACTTTTTTCTTCATGTACGCTTAGTACCGATGTTAACATCCCTTTGCGCGTCTTTGTACATTATTTTTATTTGCCTATCCACTTTAAAGATTGCACATGGATGAGTCACCTGGTCATGCCTGACAGACTGCAATAACAGAAACACCACCAGCTTTAGTGAATGGGTTTGTGCGCAACATTCCAGTACAATCGGAGGATCTTGGGTTCTCTTGCAATTGAAGAACAGGTCTAGCCAGATCAAGGACAATCTCATGTGATATGTGCGCCCACCAATCATACACGATTTTACTTCGTTGCCTTGGGCTCTTTTAAAGACTGATTGAGAGGGGATTTTCCTCAGTACTGTAGGTGTGTTTGGGGATCCAGCAGTGGAATAAGGAGGGTGCAAGGTGAGTTTTCTGTGTCCATGAAGTGCATTCCTTTTATGTCTTTGAATGCTAAGGTCCTTTATTTTAAAAATATTTATTAAGTCAATAGATGTTCGGACCTGTTGCTTATTATATTAAAACAATTCATCATCTCTTTGCTGCTGTTTTCTGATAAATAATTACTAAGTTGCAATTCTCTGCATGGTTAGATTGAATTTCATTGGATTTGAGCAGTTTTTGCACAGGGTGGGAGTTTGGAACTTGTCCCTGTTTCCCTCAGTGATGATATCATTCTGTGTATCGCTGCTTAATGCTGCCACCAAGTTTGGCTGCAATAATACTACTTTCCTGGGAGAAAACACTGCTGAATTCGATAGGAGTTGGTTGAGTTGGTTGAGTTGAGTAGAGTTGGTTAGGATTGCACTGTTAAGAGGCAGGAAAGCAGTACAGGTGAAGGATTTGCATTTCCCTTCATTTTCTGTGAACAAGCACAAGATAAAAAAGGATGAGTTTCTCCTGGTTCAGTTCAGTTAATCAAAAATTGGTACACACACACACACACACACACACACACACACACACACTGGCTTTCTGCCTAGTGAACTCTTCACAAAGTTCACGTAAGGATTGTTTCAGTTTTTCCCTTGTAGTATTTTGAAGGGGGCAGCCAACAAAACAGCTTTCAGGAAGGAGCCTTCAGTGCATTGAGAAGCTTTGAGCTATTCAATTAGGTTCATTGCAATCTTCTGACCTGCACGGTGAATCTGTGTTGTCTCAAGATCAGCCTCTTGTTTTGCTAGTGATATCTGTGTTGCTGAATCATAAGGGGAAACCCAGAGTGTAAATTTTTCACATACTCATTATCTTTTTTTGGAAGCCCCCCTGAATATTATGGGGCTTGCTCCAAGTAAGTGTGCGTCAGATTGCAGCTTAGGAAACTGTGCTATGACACAGCTTTGCTCTGATCATACATCCCACCCCAGGTGGTTCATTCCTATTTTCTAAAATGTGTTTGAGCACTGTTATTTCTGCCATATAATCTGCTTGTCTAGCAAGCCTGTTCTTATTTATATAATAGCATTGTGTGGCTGGATAGCTGTAATTTTATGTTGGTTTTTTTAAAAAAAAATGTTCGAAAGCATGGGGGGTGTTTTACACAGAGTAGAACCATTGAAATTAATGGCTCTCACTTAGTCATGTTCTTTCATTTCAGTGTGTCTACTCTGTGCAAAACTTGGCTGAATGCCACCCCCACGACTCCACCTATTTAAAAGGGTTGTATTTAAGGGAGTGTTGTTAACTCTTGCAATTACGTTGCAAATGTTCAGATGTGCTCTCTTAAAATCAAGAAAACCCCACCCTTTTCAAGGCAGTGTCAATGGTCTTTGAAGCACCTCAAAATCTTTCTTGGAGTGTATTTGTGTGTGTGTGTGTGTGTGTGTGTGTGTGTGTGTTGCTGTGTTGCGGTGTGTGTGTATGTGTGTGTGTGTGTGTATGTAAAAAATGAGAGAATATGTAATTATAGCACAATGGAGTAGTAGTATAATCACTTCCCCAAAACAGAACTGCCAAACAATCAGGCACAGTGTTTGGGCATCATTTCCAGTTGATGAGGACAGGATAACCACAGGAATGCATTCGACCATGTGCCCTCTGAAACCCCAACCATCCTAGCTGATTGAAACTGGTCAGAGGAGGGTAGCAAGGTTGCTCCAAGGTGTTGTGAATGCATTTTTGCATTTTTGGTGCCAGTCACCCTCAAGGAGGCAGTGGAGTGCCTGTACCTACTCTTTAAAAAGTGCAACCAGGATCCAACATTGTGCAATGACTACCAGCCAGTCTCCAGTAGGGTTGAGGGAGAGACTTGATTCTATTCTCATTTAAACACCAGCCTACCTAATTTGCACTTTCGGGGGTGGGGGTGGGGGGTGAGAACAGAAACACAGCTATCCTTCCAAATTTGCAGCTCTCTGAATTCTGCACACAGTTCTCCAGCCAATAAGCATGCACAAAAATTACATATACCTGTGCTGGTGAAGATAGTATATGAAAATGCATTCTACTGTGGGATATTGCTCTGTAAAAAAAATGTATATAGTAGACAAACTTGCATGCAAATATGTATATTAGGAGAAGTTCATATGGAAATGCCGGTGAATATTCATGATGACTTTTTAAAATTACAAACTGCTGTGGAATTGTGAAGAACTGAGCTTAACTGTAGAAAAAATGAGAAAGTGAGACAACCCAAAATGTACAAAATCACCCACACCTGGTCATACTTCTTTTGGGAAGAAAGTGGTGGCGCAGCAACTGCCTGTGTTCCTGGATAACTCTGATTTCTGGGCCCACTTCAATCTGGATTTCGGCCTGGTTTCAGGACTGAATCAGCCTTGGTTGCCTTGATGTATGACCTTTAGCAAAAGAGGGAGAAGGGGAGTTGTGTTGATCTCTCAGAGGTCTTTGACCACTGTTTCCTCCTAGGTGGGCTGTGTGAAATGAATTATCAGAGGCACAGTTATTACATGCCTACCTGTGCAGTTGAGTCCAGATAGTAACACTGGGGGAGTGCTCCTCATCCTGTGGCACTTGTGCTGTGGTGCTCCATGGGACACCACATTGTCTCCAGTAAATATTTAACGTTTTTATGAAATCATTGGAAGCAGCCGTTGGGAGTTTTGGAGCATGGGGACCTCAGCGTGCTGATGACAGCCAGCTCTGTTTCTCTGTAACCTCTAAATCAGTTGAAGCTGTGCAAGCCGTGATTAACTGGATGAAGGACAATAAACTGCGTCTGAATCCTAGGAAAGTGGAGGCTCTGTGGGTAGGTGGTTTCTGTGTCTGGAAGACAGGCCAGTTGCCTGTTCTGGATGGGGTTGTGTTCCTTCTAAAGGGGCAGGAATAAAGCTTGGGGATACTCTTGGATATATATTTGTCACCGGAAGCGCAAGAGACCTATGTGGCTAGGAATGCCTTTCACCAGCTTCATTGGGCATACCAGCTACAGCCATTTCTGGATCAAGACCATTTGACTACTTTACTCCATGCACTGGTAACCTCAGGACTGGATTACGGTAATGTACAGTATGTGGTGCTGCCCTTGGGCTGAATATGGAAGCTCCAGTTTGTGCTGAATGCAGTGGCTAGACTGCTGATGTGGACAGGTAGCTGACCACAGGCAACATCTCTGCTAAAATGTCTGCACTGGTTGCCCCTATGCTACCAGGCAGAACCCGCCTGCCCATGAGACGAGGTGAGGCAGTTGTCTCAGGTGGCAAATCCAGCCTCTGAAGAGTATACTACCACTGCATGTCTGTGCCCTCTTGCCACTACCCACTCCTCCTCGAGTTACCTTTATTCCACGACCACCATCAGCATGGGGGATGGGGGAACAGCAGAGGAGAAACTCATCGTGGGGTTGCATTTTGTGTTTTGTCTGAAGCGGCAAAATGTCCGAGGCCAGGTTGGCTAGCGGGCCACGTTCAAGGCTCTTGTGATGATATGCAAAGTCATGAACAACTTGAGTCCAGGATACATTAAGGACCGCTTGAGCCTGCAGTTCCCAGTTTAGTCACTGAGATCATCTGGAGTAGAGCTGTCATTCCCCATGGCACAGAGGCCTGACTGGCTTTGACCAGAAGATAGGCATGTTGTGGAACACACTTTCAGCAGGGAATCGGCAACCATACTCACTTTTAGCATTTATTGGAAACCTTTTTGCGGCTGCTTAAAACATTACAGTACTGTTGAGCCAGTCACTTTGTTGATAATTTTGATACTACTTTTAACAGTAAGGTATGTAGTGATGTATGGAAGTGATAGCTGGACCATAAAGAAGGCTGATCGCTGAAGAATCGATGCTTTTGAATTATGGTCCTGGAGGAGACTCTTGAGAGTCCCATGGACTGCAAGAAGATCAAACCTATCCATTCTGAAGGAAATCAGCCCTGAGTGCTCAATGGAAGGACAGATCCTGAAGCTGAGGCTCCAATACTTTGAGAAGAGAAGACTCCCTGGAAAAGACCCTGATGTTGGGAAAGATTGAGGGTACAAGGAGAAGGGGACGACAGAGGACGAGATGGTTGGACAGTGTAGCATGAGTTTGACCAAACTGCGGGAGGCAGTGGAAGACAGGAGTGCCTGGAGTGCTCTGGTCCATGGGGTCATGAAGAGTCGGACATGACTAAATGACTAAACAACAACAATGTTTTAATGATGCACACTGCCCTGGTGTTTCATGATGCAACAATATATTAATACTTTTTATAAATAAAACCATTGCTGGTGTACAGTGCTACTTTTCTAGAAAAAGAGGTACTGGAATTTACCATAAACTCTTAGACTGAAGAACCCTTGTTCTCTTAGAATGGCAAAGGTGCCTACTTGAGAGGTGCCGGAACTGAGTTCCAGCGAGTTTTGGCTGGCGGGGGGAAGCCCTGCTGGTGTATAAGGTCTTAGTGAATACCTACACCATTGATACAATTGATGAAGCCATACTTTGAAGCCTATTTTGGCATTAAGATGCATATATAATCTAAATGATTGACTTTCTCACTGCCACATCCCCACTGCTTTTGTAATAAAAGGTCCACAATGAAAAATTCAAATCGACATTTGGAAATGCTAAATATGACTATGAAACTGATCAATGATGCTATAGATTAAAGTGAAGTGTCTCCCATTTCCCTAGATATAGATATGTCATGGAGCCTTGGGGCAAAGCATTTTCTACCATCAAATGAAAAATCGTTAGAAAATTGAATAGGGTTCACTGAAGAAACAGAGGTGTGGTCCTCATGAAATGGCTTGAGGACATGTTACGGCATGGATGCGTCATGTCTTGGGCGGGTGCACAGGGTAGGAGAGCACTTTGCCAATCTTGAGAAATTTTCTATTTCTTTTATTTTATGCTTCAATTCCTCTCAGTAGGCATATTGTATTATCTGGTGTGCCAATGTCCTGCCCTGAAAATTGGTTAACAGTGAGGTGAAACGGAGAAATTCAGCAAGCGTTGTTCTTGA